TTGATTTCCTCTCTTTTTTAAGAACTGAGAGAATCAATACAATCTAAGCAAAACGAACGTACACAAAATTAAGAGTTAAACCAAAAGTCTGTTTCCATGTTATGACTTACAATATACAATATCGTTCATAACATGGATTATTTACACAGTTCAAAATATGAGTCACCGGTAAATCACATTTCGATAAACATGACATTAATTTTTCTTTTCGTAAAATTCTTCTCTCTCTCTCTCTCTGTGTTTAAAAATTTATAGAAAAGGTGGTGTAAAATGAATCATATAAAATTATCAATATAACTCAATCGGCATATATCAATATTGATCATTACGAGTATTAATAGTGGGTCGGCATATGCTTCACAACTTCGCTGAATGAAGGAATAGGAAAAATTTTTAAAATGGATTGTTAAAGCTGATAGCAGTTTTCTTTTCCATTAGACAAATTCATTAAAATGATTACAAAATTTCCAGAAAGCTGAAACTTTGTCTCTATTGAATTCTGTTATCTATATTGCATTCATTTAAAATAATACCTTAATATTGTCATGGATTACTATTAAATATTTTTAGATAGATTTTTATCATGTTTATTTTGTTATTTCTTCGGAACAAAAGTGAATTTTTAAAACAAAATTATTTTTTTCAAAAATTCACAAAACAGAACGAGCAAATAAAAAATGTTGTCGATAAAAATATGTTTTTAGCACAAAATAGATCACACAAACACAGACACACACACGCAAACACTACAAATTGTATTTGAAATTTTGTTTTAAAGTTAAAGATAACTGAGAGATAAACTGATTTTTGTTTTTGAGTCGCGTTTACTATTTTAAAGAAAATTATACCAAAAATATTGCTACAAATAGAAAGAGACAAAAAATATTAAAGCTTTTCCTTCAGTTTTTACTTCATGTTCGTTTGTGTTTTTTTTTTCCCTATTTTATAAATCAAGTTTAAGTGAAAGCTAGTTAACGTTTTTCATTTTGTTTTTCATTTTTCATTTTATTATTATAGTTTATATCGTTTATATAATAGTAACAAGGATAATAGTAATCCAATATATTATTACAATGAGAGAAAAATATATTTTTTTTTTTCTTGTTTTATTTTAAAATAAAAAAAAATCTCTTTGTATACCACAAAGCGCAGCAATACTATAATAATAATTATAGTTGTAACGATAGCTATTATGCTACTATCATGCATTATTAAATAATGTAACTTGGTTACTGTCTCTTTAAATATTTTCTATGTTAAGATTTTTATCAAAGTGTCATGAAAACAAGAGAGTATGTTCAAAGAGAAGAGACACAAAAAAAAAAGACATACAATCTTTAGAATTATGGTGTCTTTAGTAACTGAACTGTAATAATATTGTATAATAATATTGTATATTTAAATTGTTATATTTATACATACTACAATGCAGACTGTTAAGATGGAATGATTTTAAAAAAAGGATAATTGAAAATTTATTGTTATTACTATAATAAATGTTAATTATAGAACATTGATTTTAGAATTAGATTACAAATGACTATTTTTTTCTTATAGTTCATGTATAGTTATAAAAAAATTAATTTTTTATTAAAAATCTCTTTTAACTATTATATTAATACATTACGATCTTTTTATTAATGGGGGGGGCGGTGTAATGAAAAGATACTAAATTTAAAATTGATAAGTTTTTATTCTTAAAATATATTGTTGAAGTGTGTAAGTTCATGTATAGACCTTGATAATATGCTTCTTTTTCAAAAATCTTATTTTAATAGTTCTTTTTCAAAAATCTTCAGTTTTATTCTACTAGAAGCGTTCGCATATAAAAATGTATGAGATGACAAATTTACTATTCTACTAGAAGCTATTTTCGATAATTGTCAAATTTTTTTGTCAAATTTAACCGCGTATATTTTGTTGTCAGCAGAAATGTAAAAATTTTCTGAAAAATAAAATTTAAAGAAATTGGAGAAGATGTAAGAATAATTCCAGTGTAAAATTAACTAATCGGCAGCAATTTCAAATTTTAATAGAGTTAATGAAAAATTCATTTTCTTAATATTTTCAAAAATATCAAAAATAGTTCGAAATCATGTTTATTTCTCTAATTTACAATTTGTTATTTATACTTTTTGCTGTTACCAGTTTATTTAAAAACAATTATTTTCTAGCTTTCCGTTAAAAATTTTTAAGTCTCAGTTCTTCTGTAACATCACATTTCGCGTCTAGTAGAATACGTCACATTTGTAATTGTCACAAAAAATATGTGATAATCACAAATGTGACGCGTCTAGTACAATAACGTTACTTTATATTATCTTGTTACCATGTTTAGGCATGTGCATTCTTAGCTGCTAGAGTGAATCATTTCAGAATAATTCAATTCCAAACTCAAAAAATATGGCGAAAACTCGAAAAGACCCAGGGGATATTGCATACAGACTAACATTGAATATTGTGTACAGATAATTTTTAGCTTAACTTAAAACGCCTACTTAATTGATATTCTGTAAAAAAGTAATTTGCAAAACTAGTCCGTAATTTTTGAACGATTGTTTAAGGAAAAATTTGTTTAAATTTTTCAAATTTCTGTAGGTATTGTAACATTATCAATTGAAATATTAATGGAAACAGTCAACAATTTTAAATTAAACGTATTATTTGTTTAATAATAGAAATGTCGACACAAAAATGTAGGGAATTCTTAAAAATATTAAATTTTTTTATAAAATAATTAATGAAAATTAATAAATTGCACTTTATTTAACATATTTACGATTTAAGGGTGGGCCTATAAGAATTTTATGAACATAATTGCAAAATAATATTAAAAATCTAAAACAATTTAAGACGAAAATGTGAATTTTCACAAAAATACTTTAAATTTTCATGGAAACAAACCAATCCCATCTTCAATATCGTAAAATTTTATTCAAAACTTCTTTGAATATTTAAATTTAAAGAACATACAATCACTTTGGTTTTTCAACTTTAAAAAAATTTTTTTTTTTTTTGCTAAATTACTTTGTAAAATAAAAATATTTTTCTCTACATTTTTAATAAAGGTAAAATAGAAACTTGATTAAGAAAAGAATTTATTTTAATTGCAATGCAATTTTCCTATACTATATGATATACCCATATTATAGGTTTGTACATATAGTATAAGTGTATAGAAAATTAATTAAACTGTGAATAACAAAAAAATAAAAAAATGAAATAAAGACAAAAAATAAAACTAAAATTTGTGCCACTTCTTGGCAATTTTAACACTTCCATATTGAATCTTTTTTCTTTTTGTCTTGGTTTTTATGGTACTTTTAATTAACACTTCTATAGTTTAAATGGAATCCATGTCAATTCATGCAATTTGTTATTAAAAAAGAGAAAAGGTTCTTTACTCTTCTATACGATATTTAAAAATGGTGTATGTTGTGGAATATTGAGTGATGTTATTTTTCTTATATACTTGCATGACATTTACATATATGCGGTTTTATTAGTAATAGACATGAATATTTTTCATCTGTTTCTGGAAAAAAATTATTAGTCCGATACTGTTCTATTATAGGAATGGAATAATTTTATACACAATTAAATAGGATAAATTAATATTGAAAGTGTGGTGTTGCTTAGAATTGTAGATGCATACTTAAAAAATTAGTTTTTAAATTGAAATTTTACTGTATACCAGAGATATACCAGAAAATGATTTTTTTCTTTTTCGAAAGTCCGAATAGAAAATCTCCTACCGAAATTAAAAGACAATTCGGCCAACCAACTTTATAATAATAGCAAATTGCTTTATTTGTCCTGATTATTAAAAAACTGCAATGAGAGTAAAAACTAGAGAAATATTCAAAAATCAATTCAATAACGAAAAAAATCCGACCCTGTTCGTAAATTACATTGAACACATTAAATTTTAAATTTTCCAATTTTGTAATAAATTTCCAAACTCTTAATTATTTTCCGTGAAAGACCGTTAATAGAAATAAAATTAATAGGATACCTTATTTTGGAGGAACTTTTCTTTATTGGACTAAAAATATCAGTCGAATTCGGTATATCATAAGCCTTACTAAGGAAAACCTAATAAATGGCAAAGTACTCGAAATCTCTAATTTCTTTAATGAAAACTTCAAATCTCAAAGTATTGGCGCTCTTGTTGATGGTATTAGCGGCACATTTAACATTTTTCAAGCATACGCCGCGGTTAAATGGTTCAAATTATTTGAACACTTTCCACTGAAAATTCTTCTATATTAGAAGAATAAACAGGTATACACACTATGTTCGTAGATCGTTTTCTACTACACGTCATGATAATCGAATTTTTTACATTGATTCGATAAAGTCGGTAAAATCGACTATGTATCTCCTGAAATTACTATTTCCATTTGATTTTATTCCATTTTGAACTTTTTTCTCGTTTATCAAATTCTAAAACGTATTCCAAAAATGTAGTATAAAGAGCGATACAGGAATGTTAAAAACAAAGAACAAAATGAATCACCTAATAAAAATTCTTTGGAATTGCAAAAAAAAAAAATAGGCAAACAAAAATTACCGAGAAACTTATACAAAAAGTAAATTACAAAATTTATAAAGCAAAAAAAAAAGCAGAAGAAAGAATTTCTTTCGAATGAATCATGGATCCTTTTTATGTTAGAACTATTTTATGTGTGCAAGTACAACACAACAAACAAAAAGTTTCCCTCCAATTTAGTTTATTAGTTCAATTTATATTTAGGGGGTAAGCAATTTGTTTGTTCGTTTTTTTTATTGCCTCCATTTGTTATCGGTATCTGTTCTATTTTAGAAAGGAAGTTTCCGTTATAGCAAAATACATAGAAATTTAGATTTCAGGTACAACTGATTCATTTCATTATGTATACAACAATAAAAATATTAAGCAGGTAAAAAAAATATAAGATATAGTAAGGAAATATGAAATTTTTGTTAAAAATTACAAAAATGTAAAATTTTTGACTCACCTTTCTTCAATTGTTGTTGGTAATTGACGTCCACGCATAATATTTAAAAAATGTTTACTACTATGACTTTGATGTTGATGATGATGATGTTGATTATGATGTTGATGATTATGATGATTTTGATTATGTACAATACCGATACTACCTTCTGATAAATAACCATTATCAATATCAGAATATCGTATTGTTGTTGTTCCTGTTCTTGATGATGATGCTGATTGATTTGAATGCGTTTGTTGATTATGATGATGACGTCTTAATGAATCACCATCACTCATATAACCGGTACCACCAATATCCGAATCATAAAATTCATTAATAAAATGTTGTCCACTTCTAGTACCACGTGTTGGTAATGTTACATGACTATTATAACCTCTTAATAATGGTCTCATTGGTATTATACTTAAATTATGTTTATCTTCTTCATAAATTGTACCAGCAATTAATTGGCTATTATTACCAGTAATTCCGTTATTACCAACAATATTACTAGCTATAACATCTCTTGTTGTTGTTATAATACCACAATTACCAATAATACTATTTGGTCCCATTTTACTTGGTACTGTATTAAATTTTTGATGTTGTTGAGTTTGTAAACGATTTTGAAATTGTAATTGTTGATTTGATTTTCGTGATATTATTGAATTTTGTTGCTGTTGCTGTTGTAATTGTAAAAATTGATCAAATTTTTTATTTGAAAAATTCATTTGCTGTTTTGTTGTCATATTATTAATATTTGATCCTGATGTTCCTGATGTTGTACCATTACGACAACTACTACTATTGTTACTATTATTATTAGTTAAATATTCGGATGTTTCTGATTCAGAACCAGGTCTATAAATAACACTTGATTCACTTGAATTTGAATGTAAGCCACCTGAATTTGTTGTTGATGTTGAATTTAAACTATCACTCATTGATATGTTATTGATTTGTTGCTGTTGTAAAATTTTATTATATAAAATTGGACCATTGGTTAATGAAATTCCAGCTACATTTGCTGATGTTGTTGTTGTCGTTGCTGATCCTATTATTAAATTATTTTCAATATTTAATGGATTTACAATATTTGTTTTTGTATTATCTAAATGATTTGTTGCTGCAACTGATATGCTAGGATCATTATATGCGTTACGTAGCAGTGATATGTCTTGTTTTTCGGATTTAACATGTTCCAAATCTAAATTTGGTTTTGAATGTAATTGCTGTAATTGCAGATGATGATGCTGTTGTTGTTGCTGCTGTTGAAGCTGCTGCTGTTGTTGTTGTTGTTGTTGATGATGTGATGATTTTTCAATTGTAATTTGGACAGTTTTACTTGTACCTTTAACAGCAGCCATCGGTTTCGGTATACCGGTACCATTAGGATTTGTTATTGTCATAAGACCACTTTGTTGTTGCAATTTTAAATTTTGTTGCTGTTGTTGTTGGACATTTGTATTGCTTGTTTTCGAATCAGATGATTTAGTACTATTCAATGATAATTTGGAAGACGATTTTAATTTTTGTTGTTCGGTAATATTTAATTTCGAAGAAAGTTTTTGACTTTTACTATTACCACTTGAAGACGAAATTAATTTAGAGTCGCTTATATCATCTTTTGTAGAATTATGTCGGGCGGGACTTTTCTCTTTTTGTTTATTATTGTCCTTTTGTTTTGTTGATGATCCAGCCGATAGTAAATCTTTATTTTTTTGTCCACTACTACTACTACTACTGTTACCGCCGCCATTGGAAGATGAAAATAATTTGGATTGTTTCTTTGTTGATGAATCTTTTGTACGAGATGAACTTGTTGCAGTTGATGATGCTGTTGCATTTTGTGGACTTACTGTTGTTGGTATTGTTGTTGCAATAATATTAGGTGGTTTTAAATGGGTCGGTGGAGGTAGTTGCTGTTGTTGTTGATTTTGTAATAAAGTACCATGATTATTACTATCATTTAAACTTAAACTAGAATCACTACGTTCACTACGTGCTGATGAGAAACCACTACTTGAACTAGTACGTTTCGATACTTGAGATTTTGTTGATGAACTAGTTGAATTCGATGATGATTTATCAGATTTGAAAAGTTTTAATTTTTCAAGCATTGAATGTTTCGTTGCTGTTGTTGTTTGTGATTGTGTTGTAGGATTTGATGCTGGTAATGGTGGTGGTACATTTTGCTGTTGATTCGAAGAATTTTGGACGGAATTCGACGAGTTCGTTGTTGTTGCTGTTATTGTTGTAGATGTCGTTTGAGATGGTATAGCATATGGACTAGATGGTATTTTACATTGTGGCTGACGTAATCTAAAAATTTTTTAAATTGAATTTTTTGAAAAAATTACATTAAATATAAAAATTAAATAATCTTACCCATTACTATTTGAAGATTTCTGATTTGGTGAAATATTATTTGATGGAGAAATATTAATGGATTCGCCACCATTTGGAACATTTTTTCCGGTACCTAAACCAAAAAAAAAAAAATTTTTAATAATTTTATGAACAACATCGAACGAAATTTTTAAATTTATGAAAATTTTTTTTTAATAATTTATGACATTTAATTTTAATATTGAAAAACCTACTATGTAAGTAAATTTTTTGGAAAAACCAATAATATTCAAATTTAATATTTTATCTTGAGATTTAAATTTAATTAGACGGGAACACTTTAATATTTAACATTATTTTAAAGCCTATATATATGCAATATTCAAGTACGTATATATAGAATTTCATGCACTATAATGTTGAATATTATTATTAAACTCATTTAAAATATTATAGCAAAGTATACACGAATTCAAAGTTCTCTAACCATTTTCTATATTTTGAAAATATCCTGGAAATTTTATAATTATAAAAAGTATTTAATATTAAATAATATGGAGAAAATTAAATGGAGTCTGTATCATTAAATATTAACAATTCAATTTTTAACTTTATTACTTGCCCTTAAGTATATATTGCCATATATACACACATATATGTGAATACAAATATGTTATAAATTAAATACATGTAGATATAAAATATGCAGACTTTCTCTTCTATATTCATATTTTATATAAATTATGTACATATTGTATTTATAAATTAAAATATTATGTATGGTAATATGTGTGTGTGTATATGGATTATGGGAAATGAAGCGTATTGAGTATTGTAAACATTATGCATTAGTGCAAGGTCTAATTAAAATTAAACAAAAATTATATCCTTTTCAGCACTTTATATTTGGTATATTGTAGAATAAAGTGTAATATTTTTATGCATATGATAAACTTTGGAAACACGATATATACGGAACTCGGTGGTTTTCTGGAAGTAGACTGATATAGGAATTTCCGAAAACAGATTGATAGCATATTCTGATTCTCGAGAAACAAAAAGTCGCAGCCGGATTTTTTAACAATTTTTCCTATATGACGTTGGACGAACAAAATATATAAAGCAGAATTCCGCCTTTGTTGTCCTTTTTCTCGAGTTATGAGCAGTAAAAATTAATTCTTTTTATAATTTCCTTCTCTGACTTAGCAAATGTATAATATATTTGGTGAATCAATTTCAAACAGATGAAAATATTTAGGTTATTATAAGATAAAAAATCCAACAGTTTTTGCTTTACTGTTCCCATGGTTTTTTGAGAATTTCACGTGTTACCTTCATGTGAAATGGCAATATGACGGAGGTGGTCATGACAATTCTGCTATAGTTTAAGAAATTTCTAAATTACAACTAAATAACTTTGGAAGTTGAAACATGGTAACTCTGCATGTACGAGAAATACTAAAATCGCTGTCATAATCGCATTGTCACAAATGACTACAGAATTCTTGTATTTAACAAAAGAAACTATTACTGAAAATCAGGTGAATTTTACTATATTAGTTTCTGAATTATTACTGAGACAGACATAAGCATGCAGCTGATTTGACTCCAAATTCTAGGCGGCACAAAAATATATTTTCCAATTATGTATTTCTATTTATCAATTATATATATTTACGTTACCTATCAAACGGAACGGTAGATTAACAAAGATGCAATTATGGAACCATTTTGCTGGAGTTTGAAACTTGATCACGAATAAATAATGTTGCTCTGATACCGATCAATTCTTCGGCAATGTCACCGAGTTTTGTAAAACCTGTACATATAGTGTGTAATATAATATTTCATCGTAGGTTCAATTTTAAAAGCGTCTACATAGAAAAATTAAAACCGAATTTACAAAAATCATACCGACGATGTTCCTATAGGAAAAAAAAAAGCACTAAAATATTTTTGTTTAATATTCTTTAATGAAATTTAAATGTCATCGAAGGAAAATGGTATAATTTCAATATGAAATTTTTTTTTTTTTTTGGAATGAGTAAAAAGAGAATTGAAGATTTAAAACAGATTGTTTTTTTTTTTTGTATTTATTTTGTATTTGTGGAGAAACGTAATTTTATTTGACAGGATATCATACATGTAGGTATTTATAAGGACATAATAATATTATGCAAAATAATGTTTTATAAAACCACAAAATAACTTAGGGATGTCCTTAGGTAAAAAAACAATGCAACCATAAAATAATGTATAAATATAGGTATTTCAAAGTGAAAATGGGAAAAGTTTTTATTGCTCTAGGTTATGACCACACTCTTGTATAACAGAATACATACAATATATGTATAACATATGTTTTAAATATACACGGAGTATCCTCTATACCATACAACCACATTTATTTTTTCTAAAAGGATATAAAAGGAAATGAATTTTAAATAGGGGAACAAAAAAAACAAATTCAAAACTAAAAAGGAAACAAATTTAAACTTTATTTTGTTAATCAAAAATTTATTTAAATTTTTTTTTGTTTTTGCTTTTTTCTTTCTTGTTCATTTCAAACCAAATGAATATTTAATTAATTTGGGGACTTGTGAAAAACTTAAAATAAATTTTATTATTTTGTGTGTGTGTGTGTGTGCTTTTATTACACTAAAATTCTTAAAATGTTAATTAATGATGTAATCAGGGAAAACAAGAAATTATTTAAATATTTTAAGTGCATTTTTAAATGAAAAGAAAACCACAGCACAATAGTTAATATGAAGTTGAAAGTTGCAGGATTTCCATAATTTTTCATATTTAAAGAAAATATATAGTTGCAGTTGAAATCAGAACAATTTTTTGCTTAAACCAAATGTAATTAAATTATTTAATACAAAAAGGACTACAATTTTGTTTAAATTCAAAAGCAATTTGTAATAGGCCTTGTATTCTAAAAATTTTTTCAGGCCATTCATATACCATTAATTTTAAAATATATAATTAAATTGTTTATGCAATTTTATACTCAGAATTAAAATTTATTAACGAGACGAAAGTATATAAGAAAAACTGAAATAAAATGTTCTTAAACTGCCATATTCAAATTGTATGGAAGACCTACTTTCACAATGTTCCACATTTTCTACATTGTAATTTTGTAATCAATTTTCGTGTCCAGACTTTTTACAATTAAAAATTATTGTAGTTGAAAGATTGTAAATTTCTGAGTTTATGCTGTTCCATCAAATATCACTTTTAAAATATTGTTTGCAATAATACCTTTGAATCTGCATAATCGAAAAATTAACATTGTTTGCAATAAAAATTAATTTACAATTTCTTTTATACCTTCGAAATTTGTTGCAACAAAATTATTTTGTTGTTTTTTTTTTGTTTTCAGTTGTTGTTATTATTTTTCTTTTATTTCGATAACACGCTTTCAATTTTTTAACATCAACTCATAACCATAGTAAAAAAAAAAAATCTGATGTGGTCATCACATAATCGATAACCACAGTGCACATCACTAGTTAGGGTTTAAAAAAAAACTAAATACGAGTATAGCTAGAAAAATTAAATAATTAGGGGGGCCCTTCGACTCTTCTCGCATCGAGCCGTGGGATCTTTTACAATTTGAAGCCTATAATCTACATGAACGCTATTTTTAGAGCTTGGAAGAACTTGTACGTCCGTACGACTGGAGTATTTTGTCCGCGCCCGGTCACAATGCCTCCGCAGCATGTGGCATTTTTTGCAAAAAAAAATTTAATGTGACATTTCAAAAAATTCCGTTTAATATTCCCTAAGATATATTGTAAAAAAAACCCCTCTAGTGAAAATTCAATTTCTAAACTATGATATTGCCAAAAGAAATTTAGGGTTTTGACAACTGGAGTTGAATTACAAAATTTGAAAGAAATAATAATATGACTATCATTTTTCTTTATATGGATGAAAATGTAAATCTTAGAAAAACTGTGTGACTTATGGTATTGTTAGACGCAGCTTATTCTTGAAAAATATTGAAAAATGTAGACTTAAATTGTGATAAAGGACAGTTGACAAGATTTTACATTATCATTGAATTCAGCTAACAGCAACTGAAAATTAACTTAAATTTGAGATAAATCAGTTTACACTCAGTCACAATGATGGGCACGCAGGAAGAAGTTTATTCTCCATCAGGGCTCCACATTTATTCTCCATCAGAAGTTAAAAGTCAATATTATTGTCCATCCAGTCGAAATACATTTCCGTTGAAGACTTGACATGTAAAATTTGATTGCATCACAATACCTCCCTTATGGTATGCAATGCGTTCAGTGAAAAAATTAAATCTCGTTTTTTTTTATATATATTTTTTTAACTCCTTTAAGTGAGTAATTGAAGTGAAAAATTTATACTTTTTTTTCTGTTTTTGTTTTGTTTTTTATCCAATTTTTAATTTTTCGTATACTTACATGGCACATGATTTGGTGTAGGCGGTAATGGTCTTATTTTATCTGGCGGACATCTACGTTGTACTAATACCGTTGCTGGTAATGGTATTGCTGTCCCACCATTTGTTTTTGAGTACGGTACAGGTATTTGTCTGTAAAAAAGAAATAATAAAAATTAATATTGTAAGTAATATACATAGGTACACGTAAAATTATCTGAAAGTGAATTTATTTCATGGTTTCACATAATATGAGTGTGTAATATAAAAAAATACATTAACATTATTTTTATCTATAAAAACACAAGAAAATTAATTTTTATTTGAACTTGAAACATAATATTTGTAGACGGGATAGAAAAAAAAACGCCAAAACGGCTGTAAATCATAAATAAACAAAAAAATTTTTTTTTATAGTTAATAATAATAGATTGAGAGTCATGGAATAGGATTTAAAATTTTACAGTTTCAAATAAAAATTTAAAAATGTTAATAAAAATAAAAGGAAAAAATTGTAATAATCTGAAATAGTAAAATATTATGGTCATACTAGGTTTTTTGAACTTTTAACAATGAACTTTAAAAATTAACATTCGTTATTAAACTTTTCAATTGAAACGTTTTATGATTAAAAAAGATTTAATAAATTTTATGTTGAGGTTTTGGAAAAAAAAACAGTTCAAGCCGTTCTAAAGAACCGAAGAGAATCTGCGAATTCATCATTTTGATTCAATCACATCAAGAAAAGTAATTTGATTATCTAAAAAGCTGAATGAATGCTTCGTACCAGTACTTATTAAATGCCGTTACATTAGCAAATTCCATTTTGATATCTATTCAATGTAGCCGCTTATTCTTATTTGTAAGGGAGGGGAAGGGGAAGGTTTCCGGTCAAAATTTTAATGTAATTTTTTGCCAGGGAGGTGAGTGAACGTGAGTGGAAATTTTTTATTTTTTGACAAGGGGGGGGGTATTGTCAAAATTTTAAAAAATTTTTTATTTTTTGACAAGGGGGGGGGGGGGGGTATTGTCAAAATTTTCAAAAATTTTTTATTTTTTGACAAGGGGGGGGTATTGTCAAAATTTTTAAAAATTTTTTATTTTTTGACAAGGGGGGGGGTATTGTCAAATTTTCAAAAATTTTTTATTTTTTGACAAGGGGGGGGGTATTGTCAAAATTTTCAAAAATTTCTTATTTTTTGACAAGGGGGGGGGGGGGCGGGTGGGGGGGGGATTGTCAAATTTTCAAAAATTTTTTATTTTTTGACAAGGGGGGGGTATTGTCAAAATTTTCAAAAACAAGGGGGGGGGGAATTGTCAAATTTTCAAAAATTTTTTATTTTTTTGACAAGGGGGGGGTATTGTCAAAATTTTCAAAAATTTTTTATTTTTTGACAAGTATTGTCAAATTTTCAAAAATTTTTTATTTTTTGACAAGGGGGGGGTATTGTCAAATTTTCAAAAATTTTTTTATTTTTTGACAAGGGGGGGGGTATTGTCAAAATTTTCAAAAATTTCTTATTTTTTGACAAGGGGGGGGTATTGTCAAAATTTTCAAAAATTTTTTATTTTTTGACAAGGGGGGGGTATTGTCAAATTTTCAAAAATTTTTTATTTTTTGACAAGGGGGGGGTATTGTCAAAATTTTAAAAAATTTTTTATTTTTTGACAAGGGGGGGGGGGGTGGGGGGGGGATTGTCAAAATTTTTAAAAATTTTTTATTTTTTGACAAGGGGGGGGGTATTGTCAAAATTTTCAAAAATTTTTTATTTTTTGACAAGGGGGGGGTATTGTCAAATTTTCAAAAATTTTTTATTTTTTGACAAGGGGGGGGGTATTGTCAAAATTTTCAAAAATTTTTTATTTTTTGACAAGTATTGTCAAATTTTCAAAAATTTTTTATTTTTTGACAAGGGGGGGGGTATTGTCAAATTTTCAAAAATTTTTTATTTTTTGACAAGGGGGGGGGTATTGTCAAAATTTTCAAAAATTTCTTATTTTTTGACAAGGGGGGGGGTATTGTCAAAATTTTCAAAAATTTTTATTTTTTGACAAGGGGGGGAGGGGGGGGGGGGGTATTGTCAAAATTTTCAAAAATTTTTTATTTTTTGACAAGGGGGGGGGGTGGGGGGGGGGATTGTCAAAATTTTTAAAAATTTTTTATTTTTTGACAAGGGGGGGGGTATTGTCAAATTTTCAAAAAATTTTTTATTTTTTGACAAGGGGGGGGTATTGTCAAAATTTTCAAAAATTTTTTATTTTTTGACAAGGGGGGGGGTATTGTCAAAATTTTCAAAAATTTCTTATTTTTTGACAAGGGGGGGGGTATTGTCAAAATTTTCAAAAATTTTTATTTTTTGACAAGGGGGGGGGGGGGGGGGGGTATTGTCAAAATTTTTAAAAATTTTTAATTTTTTGACAAGGGGGGGGGTATTGTCAAAATTTTCAAAAAATTTTTATTTTTTGTCAAGGGGGGGGGGTGGGGGGGGGATTGTCAAAATTTTTAAAAATTTTTTATTTTTTGACAAGGGGGGGGGTATTGTCAAAATTTTCAAAAATTTTTTATTTTTTGACAAGGGGGGGGGGGTATTGTCAAATTTTCAAAAATTTTTTATTTTTTGACAAGGGGGGGGGTATTGTCAAAATTTTCAAAAATTTTTTATTTTTTGACAAGGGGGGGGGTATTGTCAAATTTTCAAAAATTTTTTATTTTTTGACAAGGGGGGGGGTATTGTCAAATTTTCAAAAATTTTTTATTTTTTGTCAAGGGGGGGGGGAGGGGGTATTGTCAAAATTTTTAAAAATTTTTATTTTTTGACAAGGGGGGGGTATTGTCAAAATTTTCAAAAATTTTTTTATTTTTTGACAAGGGGGGGGTATTGTCAAAATTTTCAAAAATTTTTTATTTTTTGACAAGGGGGGGGTATTGTCAAAATTTTCAAAAATTTTTTATTTTTTGACAAGGAGAGGGGTATTGTCAAAATTTTCAAAAATTTTTTTTTTTTGACAAGGTATTGTCAAAATTTTCAAAAAATTTTTATTATTTGACAAGGGGGTAGAAAAGTGTCAAAATTGGAAAAAAAAAATTTATTTTGGTCAAAGGGGTTGTTAGAGGAGGGTGGAATTTTTTAGTTTTTGATAAGGTGGGAAGGAAACGCGAGAATTTAAAAAAAAATTTTGTTTTGATAGGGGTACGTTCCCTTTTTCTTGTCCTAAAATTATTAATTTTTAAAAATTTTGAACGTACACTCTTATCAACAAATTAAAAATTTTTAAAAAATTTTAGCCGTAGCCCCCCTTGTCAGAAAAAAAAAACAAAAATGTTGACAGTTCTCCTTGTTAAAAGTCAAAATTTTTACCGTACCCCGATTGAAATTTTTTTAAATTTTTTAACGATTGTAATTCAATTTTCATGCAATTCTGACGATAAAAAGAATGAAACGTTGAGTGCACAAATTCTATTACACATAATTATTGTACGTTATACGGTCATAATTAAATTAAAATGAATTTTTAAAATTTTCATTTACAATTTCATCCACAATTTAAATATTCAAAAGAGAAATATTTAAAAAAAAAAATACAATTTTCCTTTATTGAATTTCCAAAAAACCTCACACATTTTTTAAAAATTAATTTTAACAATGGATTCCTAATGATTATAAAACATGATGAAATCAAAATTCATTCTTATATACATAAATGTGTACAAAAAAAATCTATTGTAATGAAATTTTTAAAATATCCTTTTTTATATAAGTTCCTCGAAGAACTTCCTATACACTTTAATATAGGAAAACCATAAAAAAAAATTATTCCCTTATTTCCTTTTTTTTTTTTCTCTGCTTGTGCATTTTATAGACAAATCTCTAGAGGAAATGGATTTTTTTTTTGATATGTTTTATTCCGGTTTTCTTCCATTTTTATTAAAGTCTTTTGCATAATACTAAACACCTATGTACTTCTATCAACGATAAATAAACTGCAGAATACAGAAAGCTGTTCAAATCACTTTAAAAGTACTCATATTTTTGTTGTAAAATCTTCTTATAAATCATTCGACAATTTGAAAGTATAAGAGCAAAAAGCGAATATTAATAAGAAAAAAAAAACACATTTTTTTCTCTAATTTCTTTAGAAAATTCTTACCATTAAAAATTTCTTTTTGCTTACACTTTACTTATTACTTTAACATTAAATCGCTACTCACTGTTCTTGTACTCACGAAGAGTACAACAAGTTATTTTATCTTTGTATAATATGTATAAAGTGTAAAGTACCTACATTATATAAATGATTTATATATGCAAATATACAATATCCATAATGATTTTTTAAAAAAAAAATCCTTGAATCCTTACGAATTTAGAATCCTTGAATCCTTTTTTATAGAAATTTTCATTTGAATTATTTGAATCATTTATAAAAATATCATTGAACAGTTGAAAGTGAATTGAATTGGATTTTAATTTTGACGGATAAAGTTGTTCTTCAAAAATAGTAAAAGAATAAGAATAGAAAGAAAAAATGGCGACGCGTCACTATACAACAACGTTTAAATTATAAGAGAATGAAAAAAAAAAATTCAAAATGTTTTGTTCTCTCCTGATTTAATATTGTTGAGTAAATGTTCGAAATTTTCATAAAAATTAAGATTAATTAAAAAATATTTGAAATGATTGATTCTTTTATAGCAAAAGAACAGTTATTAGCATGAAAGTAAATTCAATTTAACTTAAATGACATGGAAGTAAATTTTGACATCAATTTAAGATTTTTGAAATCTTGATATTTAAAAAAGTCGCATATTATAGATTAGAATAATTGCTTAAGAAATCCTAAATAATTTCCGTAACTTAAAATGTTATAGGACCAATTTTTGAACATGTCAATCAACAAAATTTATTTGAGCTTTTCAATGTCTTTCAAATAATCTTTAGAACACTACAGAGCTTTTTAACATGCTCAAGGGAAAATAACGATCTTAATAAGTCGTATTACTCACTTGTAATGACGATCTAGCTGCATAAATTAAAAATAAGCAAGCGCCCCAGGTTATTTGTAAATGTAGACAAACAGAGGAACGAGGAGATGAGCGAATATGTAATTGTCTTAGAATTCCATTCTGAACAAGTAATAAATTATTTTATAGG